CACCAATTGCCAATCAAAATAAAAACCATTTTAAAAATTATTTTTAAAAACAATGAAGTATAAATTATATTTATAATTATATACATGAAATGTATATTAATATTGAAACACGAATAGAGCTATAATATAAAACGTTTGATTTCTTGTATCGGAATCTAGTGACATAGACATGGGTAAATGTATTTCTACCTTGTCTGTGGCTGAAAATATACAATTGATAACACTGTAAAGGGTATTATTTTCTTGAACCAACTTGTACCATTTTGTTTGATGTAATTCTCTAATTCACCGTTGTAAGCATAGAGGACGCTAAAAAAACCAGTGATATTTTTTCCTAGTCGGTTATTTCAGATCCTGAGACACAAAACTCCATTTGATGTCCAATCTATGTAAGTTAGTCAAAGGCTATAGTAACTTCATGGTAATCAGTAAAAGTTTTTGAATATATGTATGTATATAATTTTCTGAACACGGAAGTAATTTGCAAATATAACTAACAAAATAAATTAAGTATGAATATTTGATATGAATGTTTAATATTTCATTCTTTTTCTTTAACTTATACCCATATTACATTTTTATATCACATGAAAATAAAGCCATTGACTAACTAGAATAGACCAGACATCCAATATTTTTTCGTATCTTATTATTTTGATCCCCTTACCATTTTCGTGTCACATTTTGCCATATCGATTTTTACCAGACTTTGCACTGCAGCGCTACTAGTAATGGGAATTAAAATCAGAAAATATGAATACGAGTTGTACGTCTGTGTCAATGATAGCAGATTATAGTCATTGATAGTCATTGATAGCAAATTAATATAATTATTTTTACTAATCATTACTATTACTATGTACAAGTATCAATTTATCAATAACTAAATACACTAAATGAAATGCAAAAAAAAAATCTATTTATAATGAAATGGAATGCAAGTAAAATCATATGACTTTATACGAATAATATGATTTATAACGAACAAATTTATTGACGTAGCAGATCTGATTTTGTTTTTAGAAATGTGCGATATATGCATAATTTATATACGTGAAAATTACATTAACATTAATCTGATTTTATATAATCGACGTACAATAGATCAAATATTCACCAAGTATAATTCAAGGCTGAGTATGCTTAAACTTGCATTGCAAAGTGTTAATTCATTTTCAAATATTTTTTTCTTTGCGTCACATTTCTATTTATCGTCCAAAGTTAATGCAATATTCATATATTTATTAAAGATTATATTATCCAAATGATCGATATAACATCCAATATCAAAGTTCAAAAATTGTATAGTATTTATATTACATTATAAATTTTGAGTGATTCGAATTGAAAAACATGTCAGACAAAAAAAACTCTTAGACAAGCAGAATACACGATTATCGTATTTCAACTACAACTGGACCTTCAATAGGTTCTGTTTCCTCTTCTCTGTTTTTTTTTTTTTTTTTTTTGCTGTCCAAAAATTATCCGATAGAATTAATTGTTAAGATGATTAAATTTCATACTTCTAGTCTTGAATAACCGACAGTTTGTCATATTTTTAGTCTTGAATAATCGGTAGAATATAATTTATGTAAATGCGTAGAAGTTATGTATGCATTTAGTTTTCTAATGTGGAAATGAAACGAGTAAAATTATTTATTCATCTGCACCATATGAAAAAGAAATGAATAATAATAATTTACTATGTATTAACATTTACATAAATTAACCTCAGGTAACCTTCCTTAAAATGGACAACAATTAGATCCGAGCGAACCATCTATTCCTAATTTTTTAAGTCCCTAATGAAAATTTTAAGACTTAAACCTCACGAAATTCCTGTTCAAGTTTTCCTAGTTCTTTCTTACATACATATAGCGAACTAAATTTCATGAATTACTATTTAAAATTTCGCCTGTCATTTTCTCTTTTCATTTATTCTGCTTCCTTTTCAAAAAGGAAGGAATTGTTGATGTTGTCTCAAAATTTTACGTATAAAACAAATATTTTCAAAAACATGGTACGATGAACTCGATAAAGAGTAAATTTATTCTGAAATTTTCGGTTCACGTTAAAATAAATGCTAAATGCATCAAAACGCTGAATATATAATAAGATGTAGAAGTCTTAAAATCTTTGGAATATGATCGAATGCAAAATGAACTTTTTTAAAAAAAACTTGTTATTATAATGCTACCAAAATTTGTCGATTTTATTGACAATAACTAATAAAAGTTTATTTAAAATAAACTTGATATTTACTTAATCGAGCAGTAAGTATATTTTGTATGATTCGCATATATTTTATCATTGTTATATTATTTGAATACCTCTGCCTCTACAATTAAATATTCAATGAATATGAAAATTCACTGGGTAAAGGTAATTATAATTTATTTGCGTAATGTACTTAACTGACGTCAATAATTTGGTTTCGTAATCCCATGTTTCAAGTGCGCGAAAATTTAGACAGAAACGTACGATTTCAAGAATTTCATTTGTTACCAATTTCATTTGTTAATAAAACAATTAAATCTCATAATATTTTTATTATTTCACGATAAACGAAAAGAATGCGAAACTCTGTAAATTCAAATACGGACTAAACAAAGATTCAAATGCAAATGCGTAAATAAATTATGTAAATAACCAAACAGAATGAAGACGCAGAAAATTGTAAATTATGAAACATTCGTATGGCGGATGGAAATTTCTTTCACATTTGCTACAGTAAAATGTAAAATGATTGAATGCAAATAAGATTCGTTCATTAAATATTAACACTGACATATACTATTGTATCATAATTATAGAAACCGTTCGTAAGTCCGAATTTTATAATACAAAGGAATCAAGGATTTCAATTACATAACACGGTCGTTCCATCAATAGTAAATTTAAAAATCAAGATCGGCATAAAGTGATCTTTATATGATCTAAGACTTGAAGATGTATCGTCATCACTATCTTAATCATTAACTTAACAGTTAGCAGCATTATACGGAAATAACGGCAAATCCTTACGAAATGTACATATTTTTTAGATAGTTTAGATAGTTGTTATGTCATGAAATATTAAATAACTGTAGAAATATCGGAGTTATAAGAAATACCGAAATTTATAAGAATATAGAAATTTTGTAGTTAGTGTCAATACAAAAAATATCGTGGATTGTTGAATGTTATATATATGTAAATTCTCCGATTAATGTATTCATACATCAATATGTTAATTACGAACGAACGCAATCAATCAATAAATATTTCTTCCTAATATTGAAAAAAGTTTTTGAAAAAATGCAACATTACTATATTACATTCTATACTACTGCAATGCTAAATGCATACATTGTATAATACTACAATAATAAATGCTTACGTTTCTGCATTTCTTATATTTGTTTGAATAGTTCTCGAGATAATGTATTAATATTTTAAATTCATTCATTTTTTTTTTTTTTTT